GGGGACCCAATTGAGACATTCGTACATAAATAGGGATGTCGAAAAGGATTAAACCTTTAATTTACATAGTTATAAGACATTTTGACGGAAATTGCTTTCCGCGTTTTAATTGACATTTGTAGTTTCTATGGTGTTATATATTTTTTTTAATAAATTTTAAAAGAATATCAAATAATTATAATTTTATTTTAATTTATATTTGAAACAAATATTGTTTCATATTCTTAAAAAAAAAACAGGTGTTTGCAGAAGCTACTTAAAAAGAAAATTAATCAACTCAAGAGCATATGAGAATCTTACAAAGTGAAGAGTTGTTTCAAGCAATAATCAATGGCCTACATAACTCCTACAGATATTTACACGCTCTTATAAACTAATGACATAAATTAAATGGTTAAATATATTTTTAGTCCCTAAACTATTGGTTGTTTTTTATTTTCGTAACTAAGGTACAATTTGATTCTCATTCTTTTCAAAATTTGGTTTTAGTTTTTGAAAACTAACACCGTTAAAAATGTGATAGTTTTCGAGGACTAAAACCAAAGTTTCGAGGACTAAAACTAGAGTTTCGAAAAGAATAAGGACCAAATTGTACCTTATTTTGAAAGAGAGACGAAAACAAAAAACGGCCAATAGTTTAGGGACTAAAAATATATCTAATCCTAAATTAAATAATGTATTATTGTATTTTAAAATTACTGAACTTTATATTAAATCTTAAAAAATCAATTATTACAACTTAAAAATTAGAGATTTTATTTAACATTTCTTCATGAGAGAGATAAATTGAACAAAATAAGTAAATAATACAACTAATACCTTTTTCAATATTATAAACCTTTTATGTAAATAAAAATTAACTTTCTCTATTGGTTAATAAGTAGGGTAACCATAAATTCATTTTTTAAAGTAAATTACTTGAAATCCACTTATTTCGGCTTTCCTTGTTAATTATTTTCCTAGATGTTTTTTTTTATCTTTTTTTCCGTTACATGTTATAATGTTAGGTACATTTAATCTTTATCCCCTTATAATTTAATCCAGTCCAAAATAAATATAAAAATACAAAAACAAAATATTATTATCATTAAATATATTTTTAGTATTTAAACTTTAATGTCAAATTACAAAATTTATGTTTGTTTTAAACTTGATATTAAAATGGTTTCTAATATTTAAAACGAATATAAAATAATCATTTTTAATTAATTTAATTTGTTTACCCTATAAAATATATTTTAGTTGAAGTGTGAGGTGAGTTTGAAAGATTTGAACTGAAAGGGTAGTCGAAAAGAGGGATGTTTAAAATTTATAAAAAGAATAACGGAGCTGTGAAGCAGGAATGATATTATTGAATTTACGGCTTTATTATTGAATGGGTACGTTTAAAAGTTTGAAACACAAGATATGGATCAAAAAATTAGAGAAATATTTAAATTTGGTAGGTTAAAAGGTTAGAACTGATAAAGGGATGGAACCGGAGTATGGAGAAAGAAAAAGAAAAAGTGAGCAAGAATTTGGAAAAGGTATACGGGATTAAGTAAATATTTCAAAGCTAATAGATAATATTTTTAATTAAAATGTTTAAAAAATCGAGGATTCTGATTCAATAATATCGATAGTACAAATAATGACTTAAATTTAATTTGAAAAATAAAAGTAGAGAATGTTTGAAAAAAACTGAAATTAATTTCGTTAGTGATTAAGCCTAGTGCTATGGGCATTGACGATGATAAAAAATTTACGAAAGGGGGGGGAGCGGGAAAAAAAAAAGGGGATATGGAAGAGGGGGAGAGCGAGCGGGAAGAGAAAGAAATTGGGGAGGAGGGAAGGGAGAGAAAGAAAGGAGAGAAAAAAGAGTAGAGGGGGGGAAAAAAGAAGGAGAAAAACAAAGAGAAGAGAGGGGGGAAGCCCAACAGAGGAGAATAAAAAAAGAAAGGGCGAGGGAGGCACAGGGCAGAGGAGGCAAAGGAAGGCGGGCAACCCACAGGGAGGGGACCAGGAGAGGAGACGTAACATTGGAGGAGTGCAAGCGTTTCAATGAAATATCATCTCTTTTTTCCAAAATTTTTGATTGAATTCCAGTTTAAGTTGAAAAGAAAATTCAAAACACATAGGATTGATTAAAAATACAATGTATACAAATGCAATTGAGCAAAGGAAAAAGTTAAAACCGAACTATTAATACATAACAAAAACATTGGAGCTAATTTTAAAAAATGTATTGTAATTTTATAATTTACAAAGAAACGATTTATTTTATAAACCAAATGATGGAGAGAGATCTGAAAAAAATTAAACATTACTCGTGATTGTCTTGCCTTGTTTGTAATTAAATAATAACTCAGATATTAGAAAAATATAAAGCCAATAATACATACTAACGTGATTGCTACTTTTGAATATTAACTTAGACGAAAGATGAAAAACAAATTGCTATATGTTCTATAGCCTGAAATTATTAAATGCCATCAAAAGACAAAGGAAAAGCACCTTCAAATATGATAGGAAAGCATTTTCTTGCAATTAAATTATCATTGCATAAGAATCTCACCATCTAAATGAATTCTAGAATAAAGTGAGATTGCAACACTTGGAAAGGATAGCAGCCAACAAAACAGAGTAGTAGAATGATATAAAAAGAGGATTTTGAAAAGAGCAGATTCCATCAATAGGCCTCATCGATGATCAAAAAAGGAAAAATCCACACCTTGCGTTCATATTTAAACAAAGGTTTCCCAGCCCTTGAGATAAAAATTCCAACGAACTGAAACTACTCACAGTAATACAAGGGAAAATTACTACTTGAGTACGCTAAAATGCAATATCACTGACCACCATGCTTGGCCTTCTTATTATGTTGTGGCAACCCATCGTCGTTGGCAAAAATTTAATTCAATTCCTACAAAACCCATAAAAAAATAATTAAGCACAAGATATATTAATAAAAGGCTCGTTAAAGCATGAGTTCTTCAAAGGTGTGAATAGTTTGACTGATTTTTTAAAATAAAAATAGGACTTTTGTAACATAGAGAGAAACCAAGATAGGTTGTTCCAGCCAGAAGGGGAGGGTGGGAGAACGCACCTTGTGTGAAGTTTTGGGAGTCTTTCCACCTTTCTTCATAGGGATAGGGAGTTGCTACATGTTACACTTTTTTTTACCATTCTACAAAGAATTTTTTTATCAGAATATTACCAGTCAGTGTACAACAATTATATAAGCATGTATTAAACTTGGGTACTTCGCTATATGCCTCATACAAAAACTTGAATTGAAATGCATTTAATCAAGAACAATAATTTAAGATTGCACTGGCTATACGGCTCGTAGACATATGGGAAAAGAGAAAATATGTGAATTATGATACCAGTCTTCTCAGGAGTAGCAGTTTGGAGATTTCTTGGAAGATTGGAGGTTTTGGAGCAGACTCAGTTTGGTGCTTGTCTTTGCCCTTTTTGATCAAAGTTTTATTTTCCCCCCCATAAGCAAAGTCACATCTAAGATTATGGTGAAGTTGTTAGAAACTCTTCCTTATAATTGAAGACAGTAATTTTGTGGACAACTTAAAAAATATATACATGTTACAGCAGAAATAAATATCTTACCTTCTTCGCAGGGGTCTCTTCCTCACTTTCACTTCCTCATCACTATCGCTACCATCATCCATCTACAATTTTCAAAAGATGGAAAATTATCACAAACGGGTAAGAAAAAACAAGACATTATTTCCATAAAGACAAAAAAGTATTTACTTAAACAAGACTTGCAAAAACATTAAGGTGCTATGAAGAAATCTTTGGACAGGAATCATTCTTTTGGAAGCATTTACCTTATTTGCTGTAAGTTTTGGATTTAAAAATAAACATCTTGAGGATATCTTCAAATAAAATAGAGTTACATAAACTTTAATTTAACCCATTGGTGACCAACATACCTCGTCAGAATCAGATTCATCATTACCAGTAAGCTCATCGTCAGATTCGTCAGAATCAGAATCATCCTCTTTCTTTGGATCAACAGTCTTTATTTGTTTTACAGATGCACCTTTCACGGAAGCAGGTTTAGAGGGGATTGCGTAACCTTGCCCCTCCTTCAGCTTTTTGTTACAGGCTTCCCTAAAAGAATATAACTATTAGCTATCTACATACTAATACACACAATTAAACAACATATTTCCCATACAGAGGAAGAATTTACCATTATCTTGACCTTTCAAGGGAAGAGCCTCCTCCTCCTCTTCACTATCTACTCAAATTTCACAAAATAAAACGATGCTTTAGCAAACAAATTATATAACAGAACAGTAATACCAGGTTACAGAGATACAGTTGATCCTCACCAGAAAAGTCAGAAATGTTACCGTCGTCCCTAATGCCACAGCAACACATAAGTTAAGGAAAAGTGAAAGATGAAGCAGGTATGTAAATGAATTCTATTTTGGTAAAAATAAAATCCTTATCTCAATGCCACGACCATACCGCCATTACAGTAAGAAATTTAAATAAACCATAAACATCAATAAAATAGGTCCAGAACCAAGGTTTTAAATTATCTTTGCTGTCAAAATTTCTTGACATTCATTGATATTGCAGAAAATTGCAGACAAATTAGGTCTATTGCAGCGACAATTGCAATCACAGCCACAGTAAGTAAAAAAAAAAATCAAAAGACAAGTAGTGACCACTAACCCTTTTAAGAACCTTCACACAAAACATTTAGAATATAAAGCGTTACTTTCTCTAGAAAATAACAATATATAGTAATGAATCGAGAGTGTAATATGAAGGAAGGATACGTCAGAACTTTGTATCCACAAAAAAATACACTGGCACTTTTCGAAGAGTGCGAAAGCTCAGAATCAGAGTCGAGAACCAAATCCAACGAAAGGTGAGGGATATCATCCTTTTTAAGGGTTCCCAAAACAATCTTCTGATCACCAACTTTCAAGTACACAACCACAGGTTCATTTGCCTTTTCCTTTTTCGCCTCTCCAAGGGCAACCTGAGAAATGTGTATATACGCACTCACTGGATCCATGGGATCAACCTTCACATTTTGCCCAACCTTAACCTCAACACCTAAATTTCAAACCAAGACATAACATTAAGATCACATCACCAAAATCATTCACCGATTCCGCAAAAACATACATAAACATTAGCACATGAAACTGTGATCCGACAGTTTGAAGAAGAATCGATCAACTTAGGATATTGCAAGAAATGACGGAAAAAAAATGAAATAAAGAAAAAAAGAAGAGAAAAAGTTACCCCAAAACTCCATTGGTGAGTCCATTTGCAGGTACCGAAGAGAAAAGCTAAGGGGAAAAAGGAGGAAGAGAAATTGAATTGAGAGAAATGGATGTGAGGGTTTAAGAAATGTATATATAGTGCTTTATGCAACTCGTTAGGGTTTTTGAAGTTCTCCGCGCCTCTTTCTTCTTCCTTTTTCTTTTTTTTTCTCTTGAAAAGAAATTGTCCGATTAGTTTTATATATATTTATTATTATTATTATTTAATATATTAATTTAGCATTTGTTTTGTTTTGTCTGAAATATTTTGTTTACTCTTTTTTATATTGAGCATGATCTTTGTTTTAAAGCACAATTATAGATTAAACTTAGCTAATCAATCAATATTATTATTATTTTATAATTATTATTATCTTTTACTATATCTGTGTGTTTTGATTAACGTAATTGTTGCTATTTTAAAATTAAGGTAATTACGGTTATTTAAAATTATTATAGAGTTTTTTTATTAATTACAATCTTTGACATTCTTAAATTAACACGAGGGCTATGAAATCTAAACAAGAGTGAATAAATTATAACACTTTTGTGTTCATAAGTTGAATTTACTTTATGGAAAAGTTTGTTTCGATAATTTGTTATTCAAACAGAATTTGGCTAATGGATCATAATCCAAAGTTTAATAAATTTATTGAAAACTTGAAATATATGTTTGGAAAATTTTATCTAAAAGTTTTTAAAAATAGAAAAAAGAATTTTTTTTTTATAAATTCAATTAAATATAGTTTTAGATAAATTAAATGGGAAAAGGCTGGCGTATTTACTTGTGTAAAAATAAGAAGAAAAAAACTACGAACATTAAAACCTAACAAAATAGAAATAACTTCCTATTAGACCAAATTTTTAGGACTTCGTTTAAGCACAATTGATACCATAAATAGTTTGGGCTGTCGAAAATACTATACTATGATGGGCTTTCATTATCATATCTTTCCAATATCGGTCAGCTTTTACTACCTGCACTCCCATACCTTCTTTCACGCACCTCTAAACTATTAAAATGATTGTTTCACATTTTGTAAAATTAACCTACAAATCATATATTTTGGAAAATTTATAGAAAAG